TTAAAACTTCTAAATTGGATGACTACAGCCGTTTAACTGGTTTCTAATCATGTAAATATTTTATATATTAAAAAGCTATCTTCAGAAGAAGCCTACATGGAGAGCCATGGAAGAAACTTAAATATGCATTAATAAGTGAAAGGAGCCAATTGGAGGGCCAGGGACTTAGCTCAGTGGTTCCACCACCTGCCTTGTAACCATAAGGACCTGAGTTCGATCCCTGGTATAAAAAAAAAAAGCAATTGGAAAATGCATATCACAACTACAATGCCAACTACCTGGCATTCTAGAAAAGGCAAATATAAGGAAACAGTAAAAACATGAATGGCTGCCAGAGGCTGGGGGTTACGGGTAGGGAGAGATGGTTAGTTGGAGACAGAGGACTTTTAGGGAAGTGAAACTCTGCATGACACTATTATGATGAATGCACAGCATTAGGGACAGTTGTCCACATCCATAGAATGAACAATGCCAAGAGTGAACCACACTGTAATCTGGGACTTTGGGTGGCTGTGATGTGCCAGTGTAGGTTCACTGATGGTAATGAATGCACCACTCTGTGGGGGTGTGGATAACTCTGCTTATGTGGAAGCAGAGTGTACGTGGGAAAGCTCAAAATTACCCACTTGCTATGAAGCTAAACCTGTTCTTAAAATCCATCCATCCATCATCCACTCTACAAGACCTAGTTTTAGGAAGTATTGCTCTGGATTTGTTTTAGTTTTTAACACCAATTTCTTGGCTTTGAGGTTCCTAGTTGAGGAAATTGTTACATTTTCAAGCTCCCAAATGCTGCTTTGAACCATGGGTTCAAAACCCTTACTGTAGACATCTTTCCCTCTGCCTGAAGACCAGGCTGACCCTGGCACACCTCCCGGGAATGGCTGCTCGTGGGTGGATACTTTCCAGGGAAGCCTTATATGGAGGATTCAGCTTTAAGGTAGCATCACAGTTCCAGCTCCCTGCCTCATATGACCCAAAATGTTTTCTCTTTTGTGTCTCGGGAGCTGCAGCTGCTGTCAGCTCTGGGGTTTATTCCTTCTTTATTCAGGGTCCTGGGACTTGCCCTGTCTTTCAAACTACCTTATGCATTAACAATAATCATTATTTTCAATATCTCCATGTTTTATAACAGAATGGTTTTCACATCATTTAATTCTCCTTATTTTCAGAAATGGAAGGCTATGAGAAGTTTTAGAAGAAACACAGTTATTTCATTTAACAATGGACACATTTTCAAATGTCCATTTTCAGAATGCTTACCTCAAGAGTTTTATTATTATTATTTTTTGCTGTACTGGGGATTGAATCTAGGGCCTTCACATTGAGCTACCTCCCCAGCACATACACACACCCTTTTTTAAAAAAATCGAGAGATTCTTGCTAAATTGAAAAATTGGTTAAACTAGGATGAAACCAATCCTTCTGCCTCAGCCTCTGAGTGCTGGAATTACAGGTATGAACCACCATGCCTGGATAGATGGTTATCGTTTTGGGGAAAAATGTATTCCTTATTCATTGTTAAATTATTGCATTTATCTTGAAAGGATATGCTGAGAAGTTTTGCATTTTCTAATACTATTTGCTAGGTAGTGTACTACTCACTATTATTTTTCATCATAGGAAAGGGTAGCAAAATTAGAAAACTTAATTTTGTAAAATTTGTAAAAATAAAACTTCATGTTTTGTTTGGATTTTAAAGTATTTTTATGGTTATCCTTCACCTCATGACAAAGAGCCTACTCTGTGTGTGTGTGTGTGTGTGTGTGTGTGTGCGTGCACACACGCATTCCTGAGGATAGAGCCCAGGGCCTCTGCCCATCCCTAAACAGATGTCGGTCTGTCTGTCTGTCCGTCCATCCATCCATCCATCCATCCAGGGTCTTGCTAAATCACTAATTGTCTGAGCTGGACTCGAACTTGCCATCCTCCTGCCTCAGCCTGGCAGCCTCCCAGAGTGCTGGGATTACAGATATGCACCACTGAGACTGGCTAAGAGTCTACTATTTAAAGGCCTGGTAGGGCTGGAAAAGAAAAGAATCAGAATGTCTAGGGGCTGGGGACTTAGCTCAATGGTGCCACTGCTTGCCTTGCAAGTGGAAGATCCTGAGTTCCATCTCTAGTACCACTAAATAAATAAATAAATAAATAAAGCAAGCAAGCAAACAAGTCTGGTGTTCATAAAAGTAACCACATTCATGATATTCTGAAGTACATATGCATAGCAAAATGTGGCAATACACTGAATTTGAACCAGAAACACGGGCGTAGCCACCAAACCCTGTGTGTTAGTTTCTTTTCTCTCATTACTGAGACAAAATACCTGATGCCCAAAGTTGGAAGGGAAGGGGTTTATTTGGTTTACAGTTTGTAGAAGTTTTAGTCCATAATCTTCGACTCCAAGGCAGAGATAACAAACAGGTAGCAAAGGTAACAAGAGAGCCTAAACAGCATCTCTCTGTCCCTTTAATCTTATTCAGACTACTTAGGGCAGGTAGCACTCACACCCTTAATCCTAGTGCCCTTCAGCCTAGCATTGCATCATGAATCAATTCCAGCTTCACACACTCTAGATCAAGCCTATGACCACCTGAGGCTTTGGGGGGACATTTAGACCCAAACCCTAACACCCTCTGCACCAGGAAGTCTGCTGTTCCCTCAGGTTCCTCTTCTCAGAGGGACTCACCTGGAGCTCTGACAGGTAGACTCCAATGGAGGCCACCAATAGCAATCTATATATTAAACATTAATAAAGCTCAATTTTTTATCTTAGGAAAAAACGAAGCAAAAATTTTAATATTTTCTTTCCTTTTCTTATGTACTTTGAGCAGGGCCACACCCCACTCCACAGACTATTGTTTTATGGGCAGGCACTAAGGCTTGAATAGCATACCCCAAAAGATATATTCAAGTCCTAACCCCCGAAAGCTGTGAATGTGCCCTTGGTGTAATTATTTAATGAAGTCATACTGGGCTAGGGTGGGCCTGAGGCAGGCAATTAGAGCATGGCAAAGCTGGCTGGGGAAATAGGCTGACCTGCTAATTACAAGGTGCTAGAACATATGCGCAGAACAATTTCCAAAGCCCTGCACATGGACTTCTCATGAGAACTCAAGCAGGTTTTCCATAGCATAGCCTAGACCTGACATTTCAGGGCCTCGTGGAGAAGTTCTCCTGGGTTTCCTCAAGATGTAGATGGCATAAAAGGACACAGATGCCATGAAGCGCTGGCTGCTGCAGTTTCCCCATGATTGCCCACCCTACATTCTCCAGGGTGTACATTTGTCTTGCTTTTCCTTTTTTGCTCAGCCCAAGCTTGCTTTGTAGAGCCAGTTTCTCCCTCACTCTTTGCTTTTACTTTTTTAAAAGGAACTTTGCTATCATTTTGGCTCATTTCTCTTTGTTCGAGTTACAAAGTACCTGAAAACCAACTCCAGAAAGAGACCTGGTAATGTTTACTTAGTGAGCCACTTATAGAAGGAGCTACTTGGTGACAGGCCCACTCCCTAATATGACTGGCATCCTACTAAGAAGAGGCAAAGACATACTCAGGAAGAAGCCCATGTAGATACTCAGGGGGATCGCAGCCACGCGACAAGGAGCAATGTAACGACAGGGCACAAACACCAAATATTGCTGACCAAAGTGCAAACTAGAAGAGGTAAGAAAGGGTTTCAATTTTCAGAGACAGCATGGCTCTACCAACACTTGATGCTCCATTTCCGGCCTCCAAGACTGTGAGACAATACATTTCTATGGTTTCAAACCACATAATTTGTGATACTTTGCTACAGCACCTCTAGCAAACTGATACAGATGGAACCCGGCCAGCAAAAATGGCTGAAAGAACTTGAAAAAGGCAATAGGATGATGAGGTACGCGAGGTTCCCCCATAATTCTGGGGAGCCAAGAGCCTGAGAGGGAGGGTGTGAGAAGCAGGAGGATGTGAGCAAAGATACTGGAATGTGCCCCTGAGAGACAGACCGACAGAGGAAACCCAGCTGCCCAGAAGGCTGAGGTGCTCAAGGAACAAAGCAAGGCAGAGTGCCATTGCTTCTCCTCTGGCATTTGAACTCTCACTGCCTTATTTTGGTGCCTTCTAGATGTTCTTGTGAGGTGTCTGGGACTCCAGGAACCTCATCTGTCCTACAGCTCCTTCCCTTTGCTTTCCACTCTCAGGGCTGGTCACATGCTCTCTGCCTCAGATGCCTGGACTTCTGCTACGTTAGGCTGCTATTTATTACAATGGTTTAATAAATCATCACATCTCTACTTAATGGCATGCTAAGCAGCTTTTGGGAAGATTAACAGTAAACAAACACCAAGATGTAGAAAAGTGTCTTTCTCTTTATCTTTAAAGTAATTTGTACTTTTACTAGTACATGCTTGTAATAACGATTACATTCATCATAGGGAGCTGGTACATGCACATAGTACACATTCTTTTGCATCCCCTTCTTGCCTTCCTCTGCCTCCCTCCATTTCTTGGTCCCCTTCCCTTTTGCAAAAGATCTATTTCCCTATTTCCTGTTACCTATCTTTTATTTTACTCATTCACTTATTTATATTTTGGATTTCTCATATAAGAGAAACCATTGATATTTAAGATTTTTGCATCTGATTTATTTTGCTTAACATTGTAGTCTCAAGGTGCATCTATTTTCCTACAAATGACTCAAGTTTGTCCTTCTTTATGGCAGAGTAGTCCTCCATTGTGTATAAATACCACATTTTCTTTATCCATTGTAGTATTTTTAAGATTCTTCCATTTTTTATACATAAAAGTTGTATACTCATAGGTTATTCCTGTTAGATTAGACTTCTGCTCCAACCATAAACAAACAAAACCAAACTGGTAGAAGATGTTGCTTCTAGAAAGAAACAAGGAAACAAGAGGGAAGACCAATTTTCTTTTCAGTGTATATATTTTTATACTTAAAACCTTTTGTACCATATTCATATATTTCATATATGAATTAAGCATCAGTCCTTCTGGTGGGAATGTCATTAACAGCTTCCTATAGCAGATGTCATGAACTCAGTAGGTGGTAGAAGAAACAGACATGCTGAAACTGGAATCAGGTACTGAAGGTAGGACAAGGAAGATAAATGGGGGCCCTGCTTCTAGAGAGGAAAACTTCTCCCTTGAAGTGGTCAGATACTATCTGCTGAGCACAAGCAAGAGATTTCTGTCACAGCAGCTCACATCAAAGAAAAGGTTTACTCATTTATATATATTCAGTCATTCAACAAATATTTCTTGCCCACATACTTCATATCTTGTATTAAATACTGGGAATATAGTGAAGAAAAAAGGAGAAACAGTTTCTACTCACATTTGAGATTACTGGTTTTCTTTTCCTCTGTTTTGTTTTTAGGAACTCAGCTCTTTGGAATGCAGGCTGCAATAAATCCCATGAGGAAAAACAGATAAGGTTTATGTTCCAAACATTGTTTATCTATCAGTCATGCAGTATGACAGACAGAATAATTACCTCCAAACATGTCCACATCTTAATCCCTAGAACCTGTGAATAAGTTACCTTACATGACGAAAGGGCTTTTATAGATGTGGTGAAATCAAACACCCAGAAAGGGTGAGATTACTTTGTTCATTCTGGGAGGGCCCAATCTAATCCATGCCTTCTTAAAAGTCAGAGAACCTTTCCCAGCTGAGATGTAAATATAGAAAAACAGTCAGAGAGATGCTGGTTTTGAAGAAGGAAGAAGAGGCCAGGATTCCTCTGTGAGGAATATGGGCGGCCTCTAAAAATCAGGAAAGAACTTTATACTTTGCCACACCTTGATTTTAGCCGGATGAGACTGTGTTGCATTTCTAATTTACAGAGCTGTGTTGTTTTAAGCCTACTAACTCTGTGGTAATTTGTGACAGCTGTGATAGAAAATGAATTCTTTGAGTTAGTCTGTAAATCTGAATAATACCAAGTCCCATCCTCGAGAATGTATGTATTACCAGAATTTATCAGGACGGAAAGTTCTGCAAACAGTATAATAAAAGTGCTAAGATTGGGATGTGTACATGGAGCACGTACATAAAATTTATTTGGAGGTATTGTTTATATTTCCCCTCTTAGAAAACTTTCTCAACTATGAATTCTCCACTTCCCCATTCTGCTTTGCAGCAGAACTCCTTGAAAGAACTGCCTTATTCTTCCCAGCCTCCAATTCTTCCCTTTCCATTTGCTCTGAACACCAGCCTCAGTTGGCCTGACTACACTACTTGCCCATGGCCCAGGTAGCCACTGACCTTGTAGATGCTAAATGCATCTCTCAACTTGTTCATATTGGAGCACCCCAGAGTTCAGTATTTGGTCTCTTTTCCCTATATTTCCTCTTTTGGTGATGTCACCCAATCTCATACCATCTATATGCTAATGGCTTCCAAATTTATCTCTCCATCTCAGGTCTCACTCCCGCCTCCAGATTAATACATCCAAGGCTCCTACTCAGATTATGTAATAGACACCTCACACTTAACATGTCTAATACTGAACTCCTGCTCTTCCCAGCTCCCTCCCCACAATCTGTTCCAGCACAGTCTTCTCATCTGAGCTGATGAGAATTCTGCCCTTGCAAGTGCTCAGATTCATAACTGAGACCCATTCACACATTTGCACCAAACTATCAGAAATTACTATGGCTCAATCTTTAGAACATAACCAGAATCTATTCACTTTCTCCATTGCTACTACCGTCATGTGGTCCCCTGGACTCTCACTTGGGGTACTGCAAAATCCTGCTTTGGTTCCCCGCGTCCTGAGTCTATAGCAGATCCAACTAGGCACCATCCATCTAGGTCACCACACATCTTTCAGGTTATTTCCTCCATTTCTTGCTCTTTCTCATTCTGTTCCAGTTCCTGATATGCTGTATCTAACCTATTTATGTATTATGTTAGAAGAAATGTTTGTCAGTGCTATGAGAAAAAATGAGGGGGATCAGAAGTGCTGTGGGGGTGGGAGGAGATTGATTAGGACAAGGTAGGACTCAACACAAAGGTGACATCAGAAGGAGATGAGGAATTAGTTGTGTGCACATAGCGGGGGCCAGCACAGTTCTTTCTCTTGTGGAAACTGAATCTCAAGGATTCTGAGCAGTGCCTGGCACTTAACAAGTGCTCCACAAATATTTAATGAATACACTAATACATTTTCTAACTCTCTCTCGGGTTGCTAAATTTTCTATTTTTAAGAATGCTATCTACTACTTGTTTTTGAGATATTTATTTAGAATCTCAATTGTGAGCAGTAATGACAAGACTGTTCTTTAAGTGACAAAGGACTGTAGGAAACACACTGGCTTTAAAACACCAGGAATATTGATATTTTAAAAACAATCTAGGAGATAAGTCTGAAGGAAAAGTTGATTCTACCTTAGAGGTTTGTTTCAATGCTGGAATCTAAGCCAGGCCTGTTCTGACATGAAACACAAATGAAACCAGAAAGACATAGTTCTGAAAGTTCACATAACAATCACCCATGACTTTATGAATGCGCCACTTTGGTATTACCATTCCTAAACTGGAAACTAGAAGGTCAATAAGTCTTTTGTTTAAGATGGCATTAAGACTCTACACACGGATTGTTTCCATAGAGAAAACTCAGTCACTTACATGATCTAATAAATCAACATCAAATTCTCAGGAGCTTAGTTGGCAAAGCTATATAAAACTACTGTTTATGAACATGGGCCTAAAATCACATGAATACAATGAAACACAGGAAGTGACTACTCTGGGAACCTCTATATTGAATTTTTTTGTTTGTTATAATATCTGATTATCTTTTCATATCATCTTTTTCAACACTTTGAAAAAAGTGTAAGTACAAACAAAATGCATGGACTGAAATAAAATTATCACATCTATTCTTGATTCAAATATCAACAATACATTAGGATCAGTATAATTCATGCTTGGAGCTATTTTATTTGATTCACCTAGCCCACTGGGTGGGGGAGGTTATAATCTCAGACCAACTGAAGTTCAACCATCCCAAAATTATCTTTGCTACCCATCCTATGAAACACAAGACATGGTGGTACCACAAAGATGCATCCTAACTACTTCCAGTAATGTGTTAGAGCTGACTTACAGATGAGTAGTAAATTTTCAAGAATTTTTAGTGCATGTCATACTAATACCTTGAACTGTATAATGTACCATGGAAATGGGCAATTACTGTGATCAACGTGCACACCCCTCAACCACCAACAGAAAAAGCCACCTGTTCACCACTGCTTGTTGAGAGGTCTATTTAAATTCCCATTTCTCAACTGAGACTTTCTGAGTATCTTAACTTTCTAAAGCAACTCATTTATATGCATAAATCACTTTATATTTTGGCTTTATAGTTTTTTTCTTATATGAACAAACTATTTACAAGCAGGGATGCCTTACTAGGTTATGGTTTTACATTTATACAACTCCATTCATAACTACATGGCTTGATTGCTAATTGCTAACTTTCTGTCCTCATCTCATGGATTTCATAAGCTATAATACTGGTATAATTTAGCCTTGAAAATTTTAGCTTCATTACTTATAAAACTGGGATAATAATAGTGTATACTGTTCATTCAGTTGCTTGGAGTATTAAAATATATAACACATAAAGAACTAAGCACAGTGCTTGTCATGTGATAGTATTTCAATAAATTTTGGCTATATAATATAGTAATATCAAAGTATGGGGGTACACACTCACAGAAGGGTGTAATGTGGCTTTTGATGAGCAAGTATTTTGATCACTCCTTTTATAGCTCCAGAACACAAGTGAACTGTTTGCTATTTGGTGGCTTAGATATTGGGGGGGGTGTTCCTGTTTGAGCTGCTCCATTTGTTGTAGAAAGATACATGTTGAGAAATTATCTTCATACTTTCAGAATAGCATTGGATCTGGGTTGATTAGGAACACTGATATTTTGGTGTAAAACTGAAAAATATTGAGTTTCATATCTTCTCATCTTTCTTCAAAGTTCCAAAAGCACTGTTTCCTCATTGCCTTTTCATTATTGATTGTGGTTTCTGAGAAACTAGAATAATCCAGACAAGACCTTTTTCTTTTCCTTCCACTGACTTTATGGGTTTATAGGTATCTGTACTTGTACTTTTTGCTTTCATCCTGTTACTACTGATGATGTGCCTAAGCTCCATTCAAAGGGATAACACTACTCACCTTCTCAAGGTCTTAACTCTTACAGATATCTCCTTTCCCTGTGTCATCAGCTGTTCCCCCTCTACAGGATCATTTATCTCAGCTTATAAAAAAGTTATAGTACCTCCTACCTTAAAGGTAAAAAGCTTCCACTGATGTTCTGCACCTCTACAACTGTGATCTCATTTTTCTGTACCCTTCAAACCCACTTTGGCCTTGGTTTCCACCCTACCACTTCCCATTCTTTCCCAAATCTATTTTAACCAATCTTGTCCCCCAAAACTAGTGGAAACTGTTTTTTCAAGGCTATTGGTCACATCGATGATGTCAAACCCAGTGGTCTCTCATCTGTCCTTGTGTTTTTCCACCTTTCAGCAGTATTTGGCAGACTTAATTTTTGAAAAACCATATTCTTTTGGCTGCACTGTGTCACCATATTCTCGGATTTTCTGCTTGCTCTCTAACTGTTCCTTCTCAGTTGCCCTTTGGGCACCTTCTCTCTCTGATTTCTTAATGTTGCAGGACTTATGACTTGGCCCTTGGTCCTCTTCTTCCATAATGCATTTCATCAGGTTCCATGGTTTTAAATTCCATTTATTTGCCCATGATTCCCATATCTGTGTCGCCAGCCCCACCTCTGTAATGCATTTCATTCTTATAATCTAGACTACTTACTTAAATCTTCACTTAGATGCTCATTTGGACAGCCCAAATCAATACCACCAAAAAGAACTCTTGACTTTCTCTTCAAATATAGCTCCCATAGTCATCTCCATTCAGTAAACGGCATCATCTACTTAACTGCTTAATGTCTTCCTCCCTATATGCAATCTAACCAGCAAGTTGGCTCTGTGCCTGAACTGTTCCAGTCCTGTTCAGGTTCTCTTGCTTTCCCCCTACACAATGATGTTCAATTCTCTCCCCAGCTGCAGATGTATTTTTTGTATGTCAGATAATATCATCCCCAACTATAAATACCTTCCTCTAAGACAGCAATCCTGAATACTTACTTTGGTTTTCTAGGCCCTTACATGCTTGTCTCAGCCTGCTAACACCATCCTGTTCATCTTCTTCTCCTATATGTGACAGGTACACTGGTCTTCAGTACATTCCTGCAACAAGCCAAGCTGGACCTCATTCTCAGGGCCTTTGCATTTGCAATGTTCTGCCTTCACATCAGTGCTTGGCGTGTGCACTTCTGTCATTTAGCTCTTATTTGAAGTCAC